TTTCCCACGAATATAAAACCAGATAGTCTGCACTTCGGCAATCTGACCGGGCCTATACTTTTTGGCCGACTTTTTAATTTTTTTTTCTTTAAAAAAAATACCCCCCCAAAAATTGAAAAATTAGAAATTTCTTAAAAATACAACTTTAGGTGACAATTTGGGGGGTTTAAAAAAATTTGAAAGAAAATTTGATTTTTAAATTTATTTTTTAAATTTAAAATTCGTTTTAAAAAAAATAGAAAAAAAACTGTTTAAATTTAAATTTTTTGATTTTGCTTAGAACTACCCCGTGCGGGTTTGCTATGAAAGATATAATTTTATAGTCGTTTCTAATATATGGCTTTGAACACAAATCTCTTTGGCTGAGATGTAGAGCTTTAACCACTGTATAAGGACAAAACGCTCCCCTGTAATGTATTTGGAGCTTGTGGTTCCAAGAACTTGTTATTACATAGAGCTTGAGATAATTACGTTTAAAAAAGTGACATTATTCACACCTAAATGTAAATGGTCAGTGAACAAGGTAAAATAAAAACAGTTTATGTTTTTGCCATAATTGTGTTCAAATTTTTATATTTTTACAGCGAACACATAACCATTTAGGTATTTTTACATTGTACTCCAACGAAAGGTTTATGTATATAGCGTTTTTGTAGAATCAGTTAAAGCTCATGTTTAAAACAAGTAGGGCAATCTTTTTTATAATTTAGTATTTACTATTGTACCTATAAACAATTTTCATTATTATATTATTGGCAATCGAAACACAATAATCAGCATTTTTTCACTTTTGAAATAATTAACTAATTTAACTAAAAATTTGACAACGACAAAAAAATGAGCATAAAGTCACTTTTGAAATAAAACTAAAATTATTATCGATATTACATGCATATTCATATGTTAATTAAAGTTATAAATTTTCTTAACTTCAAGATTTGAGATGTCTTATCTCAGTTAAATGTATTACATTATAAGTGTTTTTATTTTCCTTTCATTGTAACCCTCAAAATTATCTTTAATCGTGTGTTTTACAATTTTATGAAATTGTCGTACAGCTAAATTTCATTTAAATGCATATAAAGCTAATTTCTCTTACCATGTGACATAACACGTGAAGCTTCGCTGATTTGAACACATAATTATTTTCACCAGTTTGAAATAAAATGTGTATTATTAAGAGTGAGACTAAAAATAAGTGTGGGACCACAACACCACTAAATACCGTATTCCGGTATATACCGGATAATGCGCTGTTGAATAATTAAATCTTGCACCAAACGAAACAAGAAAAGCATTGATGGCAAAGCATCAAAGGGCGTCCAAGCAAGAAATGCAGCAAGTGAAGATGAACTAGTACACATATGATGCCAAATATTCTTATAAACTACCAGAAATGTATAACCACTTATGAAATGAAACGGACGAAAGACATTGTTCATTTATGAACTTTGATTGGCATGCTAGAGATTAGAATATAACTTGTTATTTCTTTATGATCGTGGTTATTAATAGCAACGGATATACATGTATGCAATCATTTATAATCCATATGTGTAACGCATGATCAACACGTACCACACATTTGTCCCTTTATTATGTACATGTTATCGCTATTAGCGAACGACCCCCTTAAGGTATCTGTTCACACTGTAAGTTAGTAAAAATATGGACACTGGTTATATTACCATTGTTGATCATGTTTGAGCCCATAATTGTTTATTATACAATAATGTAATATCTATTAATTTTAATTTTAAAAAAATACAAATTTTATGAATATTGTTTTCTTTTATTCTTTTTTGTGTTTTATGTGCTATTTAATTACTGAGTTTTTACTACTCTTTTTTTATTAAAATTGTAAAATAAATTTTTAAGAATTAAATTGTCATATTGACCGACGATTATAAGTTCAAAGCTTAACTGGAAAAAGTCAGTAAATTATGGTTTATCTTTCAATATATAATATGTGTTTATCTTTAAACCATGTACATTGTACATTGTATTTTTCTTTATCATTTTTTAAATTATATCGATCAATTGAATAATTCATAAAATTTCTTATTTGTAACTTTTATGAATAATTCCTCGGCATCTTTACTAAACACGGATAACAAATTGAATAATTAAATAAAATGTTTCAAAGTTGATAATGTCATTTTAATACCATAAAAATGTACCTTTTTCTCAGTTATTGCACATATCACGGATTTATATTACATATAAATCCGTGTACATATTTATTGTTTTACTCTCATATAGATAAAATGAAACATGCTATTGTTGTTTTTTTCTAATTGTAACGATATCAAACATCTACTCCAAAAACTCGGGAGGAGACCGATCAATAAAAACGTGTGGTTACTATTTCGCCGGTCACTAGTAAATCCTGGTCAAAATAGACCGGGAGAGACCGGCATTTATCGATAGGAGTGATTAAAAAAGATATATCTATAAATAGGTTTTGGAATATTTAGGTCATCAACTGCATCATTCTTAGGATACATGTACAACAATAACATACCATGACATGATAACCGACTGTGTACTACAAAATGATAAATAAAAAACCCCGAAGAGCGCGATTTATTGACGGAAAAGGTTATTTCATTTGTAAATGTTTGCATTGCGAAAATTCATTGTAACATATCGCGACATTTCATTCTTAGGGGGCAGGGGACATATTCGTATGATGGCCCCGGTAAAATTTTTTAATAACTCAGACATGGTGTTTTGAAGGTACTGATAACTTCTGATATTTCTCTGTCATTGTAATTCTTTCTTGTTTGTGTGTAGGAAATGAGATATATTTTTGGGTTTTTACCCGAAAGTAAGCATTTTGGTAGCTTTGTATGTATTTCTGACTCTCCGAATGGAGGTGAAAAAGTTAAAAATCAAGCTTTGACAGTTGGCGCCAAAACAAGTAAGAAATTTTCAGATAAATTTTGTGAAAAATCTAAACGTATGACAGACACTTTATTTGTTCATTTCTTGAAAATGCTATAGCTTGCACTGCGTGTTACTGATATTTTTTTAAGGAATCGGGCGGATTCTGGAGTATGCTGCACCTTCATGAAGATTGCCCCATATTGGTATATTTTAGGTGTGATTTTGGCTGGGTGGGGTAAATATAACTTGCTGTCAGTCATTTTTTGAAGGAGCAATGCATGCAAACTATTATTTTCTTTCAATGTATGTCATATATCATTGAATAATGCTGTGCAACTGGTATATCTGCCTGTGTTGAAACAGATTTTGAAATATTTGGAATTGTGTTTCTGGTCACACTGAAATACAAAATTTTTCATGTTTAGGTCCCCTGCCCCCTTAAGGAAATTTTTTCAAATTTATAAAATGTGTTGGAATTGACCCAAATATGCCCATAAAAGCACTCCTTCTACATTTGTTAGTCAAAATTTGAAGTGACTGTAGGATTATTATCAAGTTATGTAGAGTAAGTAGACTGTAAAGTCAAGGGAGGTAATAAAAATTTGGAATTTAATAGGCAAACACTGTACTTCACAGAATGTGCCACATTTATTCCAGATTTAACAGTTTTATATTAGTGCAAATTGACATAATAATGCATAATTGAGCACTTTTAATTGTTACAAAAGTGTATATAATGTCATATAAGTCAACAGTGGTAATCTTTACTGCACTTTCAGGTGTATGCCAGAATAAATGGGGTCTGGTTTCCTGTAAAATTCATTTTGGGACATTAAATGTGGCTGTAATATTGTTTTTTCTTGCTAAAATCTCCTTCCAAAAGACTTTAAATTACTCTGAAAATACTTATATGGTATTTAAATGAAGGTGGAATACAGAAAAATGACCATCTCACAGGTTCCTGGCACTTGATATTTTAGTAAATCATATAAACAGGCATGGTCATTGTACTAGTTACTTCCCCTGAAATAGGGTCTTTTTAAATATTTGATTAAAATTACAAAGTAACCGCAGTATTCACTTTTCAAAGTTAACGTTTTAATGCGAAAATACTCCATATTTTTAAGAAAATAAAAGGAAACGCTTTAATGCGGATCACATAAAAAATCTTAAGGGGGCAGGGGACATATTCGTATGATGGCCCCGGTAAAATTTTTTAATAACTCAGACATGGTGTTTTGAAGGTACTGATAACTTCTGTTATTTCTCTGTCATTGTAATTCTTTCTTGTTTGTGTGTAGGAAATGAGATATATTTTTGGGTTTTTACCCGAAAGTAAGCATTTTGGTAGCTTTGTATGTATTTCTGACTCTCCGAATGGAGGTGAAAAAGTTAAAAATCAAGCTTTGACAGTTGGCGCCAAACAAGTAAGAAATTTCAGATAAATTTTTGTGAAAAAATCTAAACGTATGACAGACACTTTATTTGTCATTTCTGAAAATGCTATAGCTTGCACTGCGTGTTACTGATATTTTTTAAGGAATCGGGCGGGATTCTGGAGTATGCTGCACCTTCATGAAGATTGCCCCATATTGGTATATTTTGGTGTGATTTTGGCTGGGTGGGGTAAATATAACTGCTGTCAGTCATTTTTTTTAAGGAGAGCAATGCATGCAAACTATTATTTTCTTCAATGTAGTCATATATCATTGAATAATGCTGCTGCCAAACTGGTTATCTGAACTGTGAAAACAGATTTTGAAATATTTGGAATTGTGTTTCTGGTCACACTGAAATACAAAATTTTTCATGTTTAGGTCCCCTGCCCCCTTATTTAATAATCAAGCACCCTCATACCGATCGGAATTTTCGGCTTTTATTATGACCGACTAAAAGGCTCGAGAAGTTGCTGTCGCCCTTTCACAAAATCTGATCTCATTCCATAAGAGCGCCGCGCTTCGGCGCGGACGCCAATGAACTTTATTAAAGTGTATAAGCTATATATCAAAAAATATTATGTAGATTTTAAAAAAGAATTCTTCCTAAATGTTTGTATGAAATAAAAATTGCAATAAATTGCCTTAAAGCGAATGGCGAATGCGCAAAATTATTGCTAAACGGATAAAACCCTAGTTAAAATAGCAAAATAATATTTTGTTCCGGGAACATTTTATTCTGTTTAAGTTCATTTTTCATGTGTATTAAATAACAGAGCCATTCTATGTTACAACTTTTTTTTCCCGGGAATCAGCCATATAACAATTGAACCGATATAATTTTACTGTTGATAAATTTTATAAAAAATATTTCATAAGATATAGATTTATATCCTTTAATACGTGTTATTGAAAAATATTTTTCTACTAAGTGATCATGATTTCTGCAAGCGTCTATAGTACTGCTCCAATACTGTAGTGAGCTAAACCCTGTGATAAACGTACACCATTTATTTAGTAAACACAAGGTTTATGTTGCTTACTATTTACGGAAGATATTAATTGTACTACCTGTCATTGAATCATTATATGAGTATATTTGCTTACTTTCAAAATCTTGTCTATCACCTAATTCATCCATGACCTGTACATGGATGGTAGTAGTAAATGCAGGCTACAGCCTCCAGCCGCTACCCCATGCCCTGTAGCACTGGCTTAGGCATTTATATTTTAGGACAACATTTATGTATGAAAATTGATCAATTCAGAATTCAGTAACATCCGCGGCTGACGACTTGTAAATGATATTTTTAGAATTAAGTTACATATACGATGCGAAATGTAATTTTGCATAAATTTTGTTTATTTTTGTTTGGTTTTATGGCGTACCAACGTAATTTAGATCATAATTATGGCGCCGAATCAGGAAAGGTGATTTTTGCTAACCTCGAGTGTTACAAGCTTTAAAGCAACACGATGGGTCAAAACCACGTCACCTGCTGGAGATGCATAGACTCCAGTAATTCGAAACCATTTAGTCGCACAGGGATAAACGGTGGATATATAATGTCTTATTGTTTTTAGTACACAGCTTATATTTCTTTTATAACAGAGACAAGCTGGTGGAAAGCTGTTAAAGCGTTAATGATCATCGGAAATGCCTGCTTAACATTCAGTACAATTCTTGGCCTATTATACTGCAAGTTCAACACACAGAACAGCGCACAAGGCACGATATTCATGGCTTTATTTGGAGGTTTGTACATTTTTGTTTGTTTAATTAAATATTACGGGCTCTCTTATTAAATAATATTATGGACTGTCTTGAACACGATTGTATTAGTATGCGAGGCGAAAATTTGTATTATCTTTTTAAAAAATGTAGGAATTTGAAAAAGGCAGATAAATATAATGCATTTTTTTTCTTTGTAATTCTTTGTTGTTTAACCTTTAATTTGATTAATCGTTTAAAGACGTTTAAAAATCTTTCAAAGAAATGGAAATACTGAATTGATTAATTCAATTAATGAATTAAATAAGACATAAACAGAACAATGGCATAGCTTTTAAACTGCTGATATCTTTATGTGGTTAAACACGAAAACAAGTGATACAAAATGTAGGTCTAAAAGTTACAAAACTTTCTTTCCAAATTAAACTAAAATGACGCAATATGCTTAAAGTAGCTTTCTTGAGCTCTTCATAACGCAACAGTGACGTTTGTTTCTAAAAATAGATCGGGACTTTTACTAATTTTATATAGAGCGGACCGGTAGGTTAGAAGTATCCAAGGGTTACCTTATTGTTTATATATTTTAATTAATGACGGCAAATTTCGAATTTGAAGGCCGCTTTAAACTAAAATAAGAGAAATGCATGGTGTTTTTTTTTATTTAAGGTATTGTGCTAACCATTGCTGTGATAGTGTTTGCATCTGAAAGAAAAGAGGATAGTTCATCATTCAGTGTATGCTTCATACTGGCAATAGTATCTGCCGTGTTGGCATTGTTGTCTGCAGCTCTAGTAGGAAAAGCGAAACGGGGCCCGACGGGATATAGCTCAATATAATCACGGCTTGATTCAACACTATAGAAACTACTTTGAAACAAGGATAGAGAACTCTATTTTATATCACAACTTACGCAATGCAAAACACTGTTTTATATATATTGTAGCAAGAGTAATATTGATACCTATCACGTGGTGTAATTCTAAGTGTTAAAGAATTTGAGAGATGAGCATATATTGCTGCATTTCGAAGAAAGTATATGAATATTTCATCTTATTTCAACGTACGCATGGTTAGTTCAAATTTGACTGCCAGACTAAATAAACGATCTAGAATATACACAACTATGTAAAATTTGCATTAATACTGAACACGTGTTTCACCAGTCACAATAACTTTTCATTATAAAGTTTTCAACATTTTTTTTTTTCGTTTCACCATGTAACAATTTATCCTTTCCGCTTATCTTGCCACTGTTAACCATAATATGCTGTGTTCTCACCGCCGATCAGATCAACTCGATCAAGCACGATCAAGCGATCGGGCACCGGTCTAGCTCGGTCTGCATGCGTGATCGGGGCTGATCGGAGCGGCCAACCTTGGTCGGCATGGCCCTGGCTTCCTATCCGATTGTTTTTGACATGTCAAAAAAATTCGAGTAGCGATCGAGTAGATAAGACGTCGAGAAGCGATCGTATAGTGATCGAGTAGAAGATCTAGTTGATCGAGAATAAATCGTGTAACGATCTAGTTTGGTCGGGTATACATCGGATTTACATGTCTTACCAGGTGGAAATCTGGCAACGATCGAGCAGAGGTCCAGTTAGTCTAGTTGAGATCGTGTATGACTCGCGTATAGGTCTTGGTTGGGATGTTGGTCGGGTTGTCGTCGAGAAGAAGTCGTAAACATGGTCGACTTGAGGTCGTGTAGGAGTCGTGAATTTGCATTTGATCCAGCTTGGTCGGGCTTTATCGGGGCATTAATGTGATCGGGACGATCGAGTTGATCTGATCGGCGGTGAGAACATAGCTTTACCACGCTAAATATCTTAAATAGACCTCTTGTTTTTTTCAAGCTGGACAAACCATATATCATTTGTTTTTAGGGAAAATTCAACACATATACTGACTGACTAGCAAACAGTGTATTTCATTTCATGGTTTAAAATGTTGTAGGATTTTTATTTATGCTGTACATGTACTAAGCTAAATGCTTTTTTGTAATGTTAGAATTGTTGAAGAAGATTTTCACTTTCTTTAAGCTTGCTTAAAAACTTCCAAACTGAGAAAAAATATCCCAATGAATGGCCGTCTTTAATCTAATTCTAGAACTTTATTATCCATAAATGTACCGGGACCAATTAATTCATTTAAGCTGATTTGATTTGATTTGTTCATTTTGCATTTTGCAAAAGATGTATAAAAGAATTTTTTCCGAAGTGATCAAATATCATTCTACCGTTGAATATTTTATATCGTGTTTTAAAGCTTGATTACATTTAAAACAATAATATCAAGTCTTGTTGTTGTCCGACAGATATCGATTTGTAAATATATTACCACTTATTATCTAATTGTTGTTTGATTTAAAGTGGTGGCCGAGTGGTTAAGGTCGTTGTCTTCAAACCACTTGCCCCTCACCGCTGAAGGTTTGTATAATCACCAGGGACTTTCATATGAGGAAACTATCCAGCTTACTTACGGAAGATTGTTCTACTCAGGTACATGTTTTGTACCTGCAATAGTGCACAGAAGGGCACCTAAGGTCTTCCTCCACCAGTAAAGCTGTAAAGTCACCATATGAATTATACTGTGTAGGTGGGACGTTAAAACCTACCATAAAAATGTAAATAGTATATTTATAGAAAGGAATAAAAGGTTACGCTTGCGAAGTTAATTGATAATTAATTTATAATTTTAGTGCCTTGTATAATCACCACTAATATTTTGCCTTTTATTGCTGTACTTTTGTATGTTTTTTTTTATATATATTTGTTAACCCTTAATTATATTTATACTGTTTGAAAATAAATGTACTACATTTTTAAATGGAATATTTAGTTTTATAGTTTTACTTATGTTATAACAAATTAACAAGTTGCCGGCAAAACATTTGTTTAATAGACAGAGAATGGTATTTGTACATGTTATTTTCATCATTTTTCACAACAAAAAAAAAACAAAAACAACAACAACAGCAATTTATTTATTGATTTGACAAGTTACAGATATCCCTCACACATAAGTTATTGACATACATGTATACGTGAAAGAAGAAGTATGGAAATATAAACAATAGAGCCGTGATGGCCTTAAAAATCGCTCACCTGAACTCTCCATGACAACGTACAAGTAATATTGTAAACTATAAAAAAGCAGATATAAAATTTAACTCTTAAACTGATATCTCAAAGTTAATGTTTGTATCTGAAAAAAGTGCATGTTTATAAATATTTCTAGTTGCTACTGCTAAGAGAAACCCCAAGAGATGTGTACATATACCGGGGCGGGCCAATTTTTACCCTAGAGTTTTATTTGAATAAACTTGGTAGACACCAATTAGGAGATGTTTCATGCCAAATATCTAAGGTCTAGCTCTTTGGCTTTTTAAAAAGACATTAATTTTTTAAAAAGTGATTAAAATATACATATAAGGAAAATCAATACCCCCTTGGGCAGGGCCAATTTTGATCCAAGGGCTTTTATTTGAGTAGAGTTGGTAGACACCCATATGAAGATTTTTTATGCTTAATATCTAAGCTCTAGCTCTTTGGGGGTTTTTGCAAAAGATTTTTTTTAAAGTTTTTACTATATACATATAACGAAAATAAATGATCAAAGGACTTTTATTTGAACAAACTTGGTCGCCACTCACTAGAATACGTTCCATGCTTCATATCTAAGCTTTAGCTATTTCGTTTTTTTAAAAGAAGATTTTGAAAGTTTTTCCTAATACATATAAGGTAAATCAATGACTCCCCCGCCCGGGACGGGCAAATTTTTGACCCAGGGTTCTATTTGAATAAACTTGGTAGATACCTATAAGAAGATGTTTCATGCCAAATATCTAAGCTCTCGCTCTTTGGCTTTTTTAAAGAAGATTTTTTTAAAGTTTTTTTCTCTCAGTTTGCATGGCAACCAGAGTTCTGCTTTGAACATTTTTTAAAGTTTTACCACCAACTGAACATCCGCTGTGAAGTTGGATTAATTCGGCCTAAGAGTGTGTTTGACTGATATCTTTAAAGTAAAAGTTTATGGGACTGACGGACACCGCCGGACGGATTGTTGATCATAAATTTGACCCCTCGCATCTTGTCACTTGGTGACATGTGAGCTGAAAAAGAAATAAAGAAAACACATCCGCACACGCACGCACGAACGCACACACGCACACACGCGCGCGCACACACACACAAAATAAAACTCCAACATCTGACGTTCATGGTATACTTGGTAGACTCCCGTCATCAGTTATTTGTAAAGAAACGTCTATAAAAGTTGAAAACTCCCGACTCCCCTATGTACATGCTATATAAAGACCTATCACAAATTGTTGGGCTTCTAAACTCCATTCAATTATTGATCATTTAAGTCTTACAAGTATTCGCTATGACTGTAATGCATTTTTTTTAAGTTTGTTAAAAAATAGGACCCGAGGCCAGTTAATTCAGGATTGGAATCATACAGTTATTTTTTCACCGAAATTACACTACTATTGTCAGTTTAAACATTTTTTTTGAATTTGAAGATTAATTAAATCTTTTCGCATAATTTTGGAAATTGAAAAAGGAAGATTGAATTGGATTTATAGACTGAATAAATTATGTAAATTATCTCATCAAAATATTACTTATGTCAACAAAAAGTAAAATTTACACTTTTTAAAATAGCGTAATATATAGATGTGTCAATGAAATGTCGAAACAATTATTTGGAACTTCTCACAGGCTCTTAACGAGTAATTAAATCCCTTATCTCTGAAGTATAAAATTGTTGCTTATTAACTTGTTATTATCTATACATTTGTTTGATTGTTTCAGTTTAAAAATGTAAACATGTTTATAGGTATATTGATGTTAAATGTCCTTGCCATATAGTCAGTGAATGTGCGTAAATGACGAAAGACAATGCTCATTGTCGATTTGTCAATAAACTTGAAATTTGAAAAAAATTCAATTGTTTCTCCTTATCTTCATTACAGATTTCTTGAGCGAGTAATAATACCAGCAACGGAACCAAGTTATGCCTCTATATGTCTGTAAACCATTGGTGTGTGGGTACAATCCATTTAGATTACTATCATAACAACCATAGTACCACCAAGCTCCGCTACAGGACACTGCACAATTCTCGCCAGGGTTCTATTTGAATAAACTTGGTAGATACCTATAAGAAGATGTTTCATGCCAAATATCAAAGCTCTCGCTCTTTGGCTTTTTTAAAGAAGATTTTTTTAAAAGTTTTTTCTCTCAGTTGCATGGCAACCAGAGTTCTGCTTTGAACATTTTTTAAAGTTTACCACCAACTGAACATCCGTGTGAAGTTGGATTAAACCGGCTAAGAGGTGTTTGAGCTGATATCGTTTAAAGTAAACGTTTATGGACTGACGGACGACCGCCGGACGGATTGTGATCACAAATGCTCACTCTTGTCACTTTGTGACATGTGAGCTGAAACAGAAATAAAGAAAACACATCCGCACACGCACGAACGCACGCACGCACACACCAACGCACGCACGCACGCACACACACACACACACACACACACACACACACACACGCACCGCACACACCAACGCACGCACACACACACACACACACACACACACACACACACACACACACATACACACACACACACACACACGCGCGCGCACACACACGCACGCACACACGCACACACACACACACACACACAATAAAAACTCCAACATCTGACGTTTCATGGTATACTTGGTAGACTCCCGTCATCAGTTATTTGTAAAGAAACGTCTATAAAAAGTTAAAAACTCCCGACTCCCCTATGTACTTGCTATATAAAGACCTATCACAAATTGTTGGGCTTCTAAACTCCATTCAATTAATTGATCATTTAGGTCTTACAAGTTTTTGCTTATGACTGTGTAATGGCAAATTTTTAAGTTTTTTTTAAAAATACGATCCGGGGGCCAAAATTTTAATTCAGCTTTGGAATTAAAAACATTTTAATTTTTCACCAAAATTTACACTACTTTTGTTTTTTAAACTTTTTTTTTAAAATTTGAAGATTTTTTAAATTTTTTTAAAAAATTTGAAGGCTACAAAAAATTTTTTTACAAAGATTTATTTTTGCATGTTTTTTGGAAAATTGGGAAAAAAGGAAGTTTAAATTTGGGATTTATAAAATGAATAAATTTTTGAAATTATCTCATAAAAAATTTTAAAACTTTTTTGTCAAAAAAAGAAAAATTTACACTTTTTAAAAAAAAAGCGTAAAAATATAAGATGTGTCAATGAAAGGGTCGAAACAATTTTTTTGGAATTTCTAAAACAGGCTTTTAACGAGAAATTTTAAACCCTTATCTCCCAAAGTAAAATGTTGCTTATTAAACTTGTTATTATCTATACATTTGTTTGATTGTATCAGTTTAAAAATGTAAACATGTTTATAGTTATATTGATGATAAATGGCATTGCCATATAGACAGTGAATGTGAATGTGAATGTGTATAATTGGCCAAAGACAAATGTTCATTGTCAATTTTGCCAATAAACTAGAAATTTGAAAAAAATCAATTGTTTCTCCTTATCTTCATTACAGATTTTTTTGAGCGAGTAAGGACCCCAAGGCAAGTTGTCCAAGTTATACCCTTTGATGTCTCTAAACCATTGTGTTTTGGGTACAATCCATTTAGATTCGCATGAGTACACCAATTGTACCACCAAGCTCCCGCTATGGTACACACTGCACAATTCCCCGCCGCTTTGATAAATTAAATTCACTGTTTTTTGTTGTAAAATTTGTTTTTATTTTTTATGAATACAAAAAAGGTTTTTCGGCCACAAAGCCCCCCATACCCTTAAACCCGACAACCCTGTATTTATCATCTCATGATTAATTTTTAAGGTTGAAAAAATTCAGAAAAGAAAAAACCCGGTTTCCAAATTGTAAAATTTAAAAAGGGTTTCCAACCCAATACATAAGTAAAATGTCGGAAAATTGGGCCCAAATAGTAAAATATTTTTCAATTTCCGACCCAAATACTCGCTACCCTTTTTTCCCGGGAACCATTTCTTGAAATTTTCCCAAATTTCCCCGTAGAAATTTTCCGATCCGCCCTTTGTCGACGTTTGTAAAAAACCGTCCATCCCCCCTTGGTCTTTATCCCCAAACCAAAAACCATCAGTAGCAGTATTCAGTTGGTTTGATCAACGAAAAACCACCGTCTGCATTTTAAAAGCCTTTTTTGAAAAAAACGCAAGAAAATTTTTCAACTGGCCTCGGGTTTGCTTTTTGAATTCTGTTTACTTTTTTGATTTCCCTTTCCTGTAAAAAAGGGAAAAAAATAAACGCTTCCTTGAAAATTAAACATTTTTGGGCTGTTTTTTTTTAATATTTAAAAAATCACAAATTTTTTTTTAAACACATGTTCAACTGATAAATTATCAAAAAAATGTATTTTTAATATTTTAGAATTAAAAGAAATCAATTAAAATTATCTTAAACGTAAATTAAAAAATTACATGTAATATCTTAAACAAATTAAAAATTTGAGTTTCCTTTCCAAAATTTGGGGCCGGGAGGTCTTTTAAAATAGAAAACTTTGGGGGGAGATTTAGTTTTATAAAAATTTAATTTAATTTTAATTTTTAAATAAAATTAAAAAAAAATTAATTTTTTTTTTAAAAACCTTTCCTCTTTAAAAAGTACAAATTTTTGACAGCTACAAATCTTTAAGAAAAGTTTAAAAAAAGATGCTAGATAATTTTAACACAAAAAATATTTAGCAAATTAATTTTTTTTATAATGCTTACTTGAAATGCACTTTATTGGACACCTTTTTCCTTTCTTA